GTAGGTTGCCCTGTGCATGTGCACGTGGGTTGTAGGTTGTGCTGTGAGTGTGCAAGCGGGGTGTAGGTTGCACTGAGTGTGCAAACGGGGCGTAGCTCGCACAGAACACGTGTGAGCGGCTGTAGCTTGCCCCCTGTGCGTGCAAACTGTTGTGGCTTGCACCGTGTGTGCCCAACCGGGGTGTAGGGTGCACTGCGAGTGTGCAAGCAGGGTGTACTTTGCACTGAGTGTGTAAGGGGGGCGTGGCTTGCACGGTTCACGTGCTACGGCTGCAGCTTGCTGACTGCGTGCGTGGCGGTGGAGCTCGCGCCGTGCGTGTGCAAGCAGGGTGTGGTTTGCTCTGTGTGCGTGCAAACGGGTGTAACTGGCACTGTGTGCAAGCGGGGTGCAGGTTGCACCATGATTGTGCAAGCAGGGTGTAGGTTGCACTGCGTGTGTGCAAACAGGGTGTGGCTTGCGCAGTGCGTGTGCAAACGGGTGTAGCTAGGTGAGTGTGCAAACGGGTGTAGTTTGCACTGTGAGTGTGTAAGCAGGGTGTAGGTCATGTTCTGTGTGCGTAAGCAGGGTGTAGGTTGCGCTGAGTGTGCAAGCAGGGTGTAGGTTGTGCTGTGCGTGTGCAAGTGGGGTGTAGTTTGCACTCTGTGTGTGCAAATGGGTTTTGGCTTGCATAGTGTGCGTGTGAAGGGCTGTAGCTCACACCCTGTGTGTGCAAATGGGTGTCGGTTGCACTGCGAGTGTGCAAGAGGGTGTAGGCCGTGCTCTGTGTGCGTAAGCAGGGTGTAGGTTGCGTCCTGTGTGTGCATGTGGGTTGTAGGTTGTGCTGTGAGTGTGCAAGCGGAGTGTAGGTTGCATCCTGTGTGTGCAAGGGGGGTGTAGCTTGCCCTGTGAGTGTGCAAGCGGGGTGTAGGTTGCGCTGTGAGTGTGTAAGCGGGGTGTAGGTTGCGTCCTGTGTGTGCAAGAGGGGTGTAGCTTGCCCTGTGAGTGTGCACGTGGGGTGTAGGTTGCACTGAGTGTGCAAGCAGGGTGTAGGTTGCCCTGTGCATGTGCATTGTAGGTTGTACTGTGAGTGTGCAAGGGGGGTGTAGGTTGCCTTGTGGGTGTGCAAGGGGGGTGTAGGCTGCCCTGTGTGTGTGCAAGGGTGGTGTAGGTTGTGCTGAGTGTGCAAACGGGGTGTACATTGCATCCTGTGTGTGCAAGTGGGGTGTAGGCTGCCCTGTAAGTGTGCAAATGGAGTGTAGGTTGCACTGAGTGTGCAAGGCAGGTGTAGGCTGCCCCGTGCGTGTGCAAGGCGGGTGTAAGTTGCACTGCCCGGGGGGGATTTTCGCTCCGTAGGGGACGCTGGGTGTGAGTGGGGGGGCACGTCCCCCGGGAGTGCTCTATAGGGGGTGGGGCCGTGCTCTATAGGGGAGGATGGGTGTGTGTGTTGTGTGCGTGGTGTGTATGCACAGCGGGGCGTGCTCTATAGGGGCTCTGCTCCATAGGGGCTGTAGGGCCTGCAGGGTGTAATCTATAGGGGATGAAATCCATAGTGTGTGCTCTATAGGGGCTGCACTCTATAGGGGTTGCAGCACATGTGGGGTGGCCTCTATAGGGACTGTGCTCTATAGGGGCTGTAGGGCCTGCGGGGTGTAATCTATAGGGGTTGAAATCCATAGTATGTGCTCTATAGGGGCTGTGCTCTATAGGAGCTGTGCTCTACAGGGGCTGTGCTCTGTAGGGGCTGTATTCTATAGGGGTTGCAGGGCATGTGGGGTGTCCTCTATAGGGGATGCAGCATATGTGGGGTGTACACTATAGGGGCCATATTCTATAGGGGCTGTATTCTATAGGGCTTGCAGGGCATGTGGGATGTCCTCTATAGGGGTTGCAGCATACATGGGGTGTACTTTATAGGGGATATATGCTATAGGGGCTGTACGCTATAGGGGCTGTACTCTGTAGGGAATGCAGCATATGTGGGATATACTATATAGGGGATGTATGCTATAGGGGATGCACTCTATAGAGGTTGCAGGGTATGTGGGGTATCGTCTATAGGGGATGCAGCATGAGTGGGCTGCACTCTATAGGGGCTGCACTCTGTAGGGGCTGTATTCTATAGGGGTTGCAAGGCATGTGGGCTGTGTTCTATAGGGGATGCAGCACACATGGGGTGGACTCTATAGAAGTTGCAGCATACATGGGGTGTACTTTATAGGGGATATATGCTATAGGGGCTGTACTCTATAGGGGATGCAGCATATGTGGGATGTACTATATAGGGGATGTATGCTATAGGGGTTGCAGGGCATGTGGAGTGGCCTCTATAGGGGATGCAGCATGTGTGGGGTGTCCTCTATAGGGGCTGTATGCTATAGGGGCTGTACTCTATAGGGGATGCAGCATACATAGGGTGTACGCTATAGGGGCTGCACTCTATAGGGGATGTATTCTATAGGGGTTGCAGGTCATGTGGGCTGTGCTCTATAGGGGCTGTGCTCTATAGGGGCTGCAGCACACGTGGGGTGGCCTCTATGGGGGTTGCAGCATGCATGGGGTGTGCTTTATAGGGAATATATATACTATAGGGGCTGTACGCTGCAGGGGCTGTGCTCTGTAGGGTATGCAGCATATGTAGGGTGTAGTCTATGGGGGTTGCAGCATCTGTGGGGTCGTACTCTATAGGGGATGCACTCTATAGGGGACACAGAGCATGTGGGGTGTCCTCTATAGGGGATGCAGCATGTGTGGGCTGTATGCTATAGGGGCTGTACGCTATAGGGGATGCTGGGCATGTGGGGTGTCCTCTATAGGGGCTGTACTCTATAGGGGATGCACTCTATAGGGGGTACAGGGCATGTGGGCTGCACTCTATAGGGGCTGCGCTCTATAGGGGCTGTATGCTATAGGGGACACACTCTATAGGGGATGCAGGGCATGTGGGCTGCACGCTATAGGGGCTGCACTCTATAGGGGCTGCACTCTATAGGGGCTGCAGCATGTGTGGGGTGCCCTCTATGGGGGATGCTCTCCATAGGGGCCACGGGGGGGTGCGCACCGGGAGCGTATTCCATAGGGTGTCCACCCTTGGTCGCCCCACCCCATGCCGGGTGGGAGTTGGGGGGGTCCCAGCCGCACCCCCCCCCAAACCGCGG